TTTCAATAGAAAATCAAACAGGGATAAATTGAAAAAATTGGCCAGAAAAAAAACTATAAAAATAACTTGATTTTATAGATTGAACAAACAGTGAAGTTATGAAAATTGAGTAAAATTATGGGGAAAAAACTACTCATAAAATGAGACACAGTCAGTTTTCAGATAAAACTAGAAAATTCACAGTTGGTTGTTTTTTAATTCCAGAACACTAATGTTTAAAGTATTCTTTTAGCTTCACTTTTAGCCTCAGCTGGAGACAGTTCTTCAATTAACTTTTTTAAAAATACTGAATTTAAAACCTTGTTTTAAAATAAAAGCATGCACAATTTATCCTTGATCCTTGTAAAATGTTAAGTCTTCATGCTCACCGATCTGTTCCAAATCATAGAAGTGGATGAGCGCAGTAGTACCTGGACAGTAAAAATGTGGTTTTTCTTCCACTATACGGTGCCATCAGCTCTGTGGGATCCAGCAGACTACAATGGCACATGGAATATCAAAATTCCTGATAACAGATTCTGGAAACCTCAAATATGTTAGTTCTTTTTTAGAACATAGATTTGGCTTCTGAAAAAAATTTACTGTTTTGCCAACATTTTGCTGACATTTATTTACTATTTGAACCAAAAGTAATGGTTTTTCGAAGGAAGTTATGGATCATTTATGCTTGAGGTGGTTTTAGTCAGAACAATTTCAGCATTTTTTTCATATGCCAATTTGACAGAGTTCGATGTCTTGAGCTCAAGATTGAAAAAAAAATTTCACCTATTACAGTTTTTATTAAGTTATGGTGATTCAGAAGAGTTAGGTCAGCAGTTTGTATTTAAAACCGTTGATTCTTAAGATGGACCTGACAGTTTTCTATTGACGCGTAACTTATTGCGCAACCTAATTGCTACAGATAATTGAAATTAGATGACTTTGTGAAAATAAACAAACTGCAGATACATTAAAACAATTTTTTTTACGAAATTGATTTTAAATTTTGATCAAAAATATAACAAGACTGCTCGTATCAAGGCGAAGCCCTGAATGTTCCGACTGCTTTTGAAGGTTTATGGAGCAGCAGTAATAACATAAAAACATTATATGAAATAAAATAAAATGAAATTTTTTTTTTAATTTGAAATTTTTTCAATGAAAATCATCCCCCCACACGCCATATGAAGTACAAAAAGATAGATTTCGTTCCTTGTAAGAAATCAATTATGGCAAATAAGCTTCGTTCAACCAATTTGGAACGATTAATAAGACGGATTAAATCTCCGCTTACGCGTTAATAGCGCGAATGATATCGCGCATTAATTGTCCCAAATTGGTAAAAATGGCCAAAATGGCAATCTTTAAACCCTCATAACTTTACGAAAAATGATCACAGGTGAAATATCTTTTCAAATTTAAGCTCAGGACAACAATACTTTTCGAATGATATAAAAAAAATTCCGTCAAAAATGGCTAGTTAAAAAGTCGAAATTTGTCTGAAGAAAAAAAAACCCACCCCGAGCACAAATATTCCGTTACTTTCGTATCGAAAGTCGGAACAAAAACTTAAGAATTACAGAATATCCCGAGTATCCTTACGGGTAGTTCACAGCCAATCAAAAAGCGTCCTTAAAAAACCTAGAATACAAAATATCGGTAAAATTTACTTTTTTCTTTGATCAAATGATGTACATTAATAGCTGATTGATCTGACTTAGAAAAATTGTAATCGGTTTGGTAGGGGTTTTGTTCCGACTTTCGATACAAAAGTAACGGAATATTTGTGCTCGGGTGGGGTTTTTTTTTTCTTCAGACAAATTTCGACTTTTTAACTAGCCATTTTTGACGGAATTTTTTTATATCATTCGAAAGCCATTGTTGTCCTGAGCTTAAATTTGAAAATATATTTCACCTGTGATCATTTTTCCTAAAGTTATGAGGGTTTAAAGATTGCCATTTTGACCAATTTGGGACAATTAACGAGCGATATAATTCGCGCTATTAACGCGTAAGCGGAGATTTAATCCGTCTTATAAATCGTTCCAAATTCGTTGAACGAAGCTTATTTGCCATAATTGATTTCTTACAAGGAACGAAATCTATCTTTTTGTACTTTATATGGCGTGTGGGGGATGATTTTCATTAAAAAAATTTAAAATTTTAGAAAAAAAAAATTTCCTTTTATTTTATTTCATTTAATTTTTTTTATGTTTTTATTGCTGCTCCATAAACCTTAAAAGGCAGTCGGAACATTCAGAGCTTCGCCCTGATACGAGCAGTCTTGTTTTATTTGAGGACAGAATTTCAGTTTTACCTAGCCATTTTAAAAAAAAAACGTTGTTTTCCATCTAAAAGTATCCATTTTTTCAGCTCTAACCTATAAAATCATTTCACTCTTTTTATTTGTTGGTAAGTCCTTTCAGAAATTAAAGATAGCCAATTTGACCAATTTGGCCAGCTGAAGTTATTTAACGCGCAATCCTGTTCCTGGGTTAAACGCGATAGCGGCACCTAACCAAGCTTGGAAGTTATTCCAAACTGAACTGAAGCAAGCTACTGAAGCTCATTGATACAAAACCAGGTGCAAAACTTATCACTGGCATGGCGTGTCTTGGAAGGGGGAGAAAATAATGTCGGAACATTCAAGGCTTCTTGTCGTTCTTAACATTGAATGAGGTTAAATTGTTAAGTTTCAATTTAAAATTATTCACTCACGGTTTTCTGTGAAAAATCTAAAATTTTCAGTTGCTTTTAGTTGCGAGAGAAAGAGTTAAAACAATAGAAGTGGTAACCGACCCACAAACAATAATCTCGTCTGGAATGGTGAACGCATTGTCATCTATTGCTACACGGATGTTCACTTGTATATTTGATGTAACAAAATTTCCATTCGACGAGCACCTCTGCATAATCAGACTTGAAGGGTGGCAATTTGAAAGTTTTGGATATCAGCTAAGTAAGGGCGTTTAAATTGCGCTTTTCTTGTAAGCTGTTTAATTTGCAAGAATTTCAATGTTTCCATGGTTCAATTTTTTTGAACAGAAATTGATTCGGTCAAAAATGAAGTTCCGCTCAACTGGCAGTTTCTGGATTTGTTCTATTATACGGAACACGAGCAGTGGGAATTAATCGCCGAGGAGTCGGTGATAAAAGAGGCAAGTTAGAATCCAATTTCATCAAGGCTATGATCGAATGAATAATCAGGGTTTGCGATTACCTTTAGACCTGAGCTGCTGTTACAAAACAAACTCTAAACGTAAGCTTGTATGGGTCATAGCGAAAACCTGACCGCTAAATTGAAATATGGATTGAAAATTAAAGTCAAAATTTAAAAATCAAACCAAAAAAAACTGAAATCAAAGTAGTAACAAAGTCGAACTCAAGAGAAAAGGGCTACCTAAACACAGTAAAAAGAGAAAATAATCGATTATATTCCAATTATAATTGTATTTTTACCAAAATTATAATGAATTATAAGCGTTAAATTTAGATGTTTAAACATTTTATGATCCATCATAATGATAACACTTTTCGTGACATGATTATAAATTATAATCAATTATAATTGATTAAAAATTTTCCGAAAATCTTTCTTATAATCTGTTATAATGATTATAATCCTTTTTTCTGTCAAAAGTCTCCAAATAAGTTGTATTGTCACACTTTGGTTCATCTGAACACAAAGTTTTACCACGAAACAAAAGTTTCGTAGAGATACCTTCACATTATTTGAAGAGTTCCCGCGGTAGGTGAAATATCACTCTTGCAAGGAAATCATGAAACTAAAGTGTGCTGATATTTGGTAGTGTGCTGATATTTGGCGGTGTGCTGGCAGTGTGCTGATATTTTAGTGATGAAAATTTTTTAAATATGCATCATGAAACACCTATAATTAGGAAGAAATGAAAAAATAAAAACACTATGAGTTTGAAATGATTTGAAAACTGTTAAAACAATTTTCCCATTTCCACATAAACCAATGTCTACGAAAAGCTTAAGATTTAAGCAAATCAGGTGCTGGGTCGAAAACAAAATGGTCAAACAGAAGGGATTATGAACAGTTATAATCGATTATAATAGATTTTTCCTGCAAAACAATTGAACTAGAATTTTGGGTAAAAGTAATCGATTGTAATGTCTTATAATTGATCATATTTGATTTCAAAAAGAGAGATTATAATCGACTCTTAACTGATTAAAATCAATTTTTTCTCAATTTTTTGTAAGACTGGTACTAAAATCTTTTTATAAGCGACTATTAACGCTTGAAACTGGATGCGTGTACACATAATTTGAAGCAAAAATTCCACAATTTTTTTTTCATTTTTTTTCAATTTGACGGATCTGTAAGTTAACTCAATCGTAAATTCATCGGTATTTGAGTTCAACTTTTGCCTTTGTTCTTTTTTAAATTTGAGTTTATTTTTTAAAATCTAAGCCACGACTGAAATGTCTTTTCAGACGTTTTAGTCGCGATTGACAAGTGAAACGAGCAGGGGCGGATCTAGGATTTTCTCGAGGGAGGTAGGGGGAGGGGTGGATTTTCAAAAACAAATTTTGTCGACTTTTGTTTTAGGTCAATCAAATCGATATTCCGAGCCCTCCCAAGTCTTTAAAAACACCCCGCTTAGGCCAAATTTTCTGCGCCGCGAACAAAATTAAAAAAAAAACAGGCCAAAAATGCGTTTTTAGAACTTTTTTTGCAAATTTTGACTAAAAAAATTGCGTTTTCTGGCGCGCGCTCCCCATTCAAAAATAGTAGATACTCTGCGCCCACGGCGCCTTTAGAAATTTTTTAGGGTCCGTCAGCCAAAAATGGGGACATCTCAAAATGATACAAAGGGACAGACAAAATCGAAATGTCAAATTACCAAACTGACTGAACGAAAAGTCAAAATGTGGACCACAAAGTCGTTTTTGGTTCTCGTTCGAAGCAATTTATTTTTTTAAATCTCCGTAGGACTCGATCGAAATGCATATTTGGTATACACTGTCGAATTACTTTTTATCGAGGTCGAAAACGGTAGTCGGTCAGTAAATCGATGTACAGCAACCCGAAAACGGGCAGACCAGTTCATTAAACGGAAAATGGCATTACCTGATCAGTACACCGAAAATTGTGAAAGGTGTTCAGCAAACCGAAAATGTAATTCTAAAAGTAATAACATTTTAAAACTAACATTTTTTATTTGTTAACTTGACTGGAATAATGCGCAACATTGTTGTAAATTAGGTTACACCGCTAAGAAACAGAAATATAGCAGTCAATTTGTTGAAAATTTTTCAAGTTGATTCTGTGTTAGGTTTATTCTAAGCTGAGTTAGTGCTTAGCTTGACGCAGCGAGTAAGTAAATGTGAAGTAATTGTGTACGTAATTATTTCATAACTCGATGTACTGAAATGGTATTTTAGCGATACTGCACGCGCACCGTCGAAAACAGCTTAATATTGACACTAGTCAAATATTGGCTGATACTTTTGATTAAAATTTCTTCTGTCAAGATATAATTCCTTGCTTGAACATATTTGAATTCCAAAGACAGTTAAAACTCCTTTCTAAGATGATTGAATGATAAGGTCAAAATTTTTGAAACGCATAGAACCTTTTGGGTCGAGAATGCGGAGAAAGTCCTTTTTTCAATCGCGTTTTTACAAGCATTTACAAAAATGTTTTTTTTTGTGTGTGTATTTACATCTTTGGATTTAAGTTTCACACCAAGGCTATTTCTGTAAATTGTCCTAGAAATGCCATCATATTCATTATATGTATTTAGAAGATGGATGAAGACAAACACATTTATATTTCAATTGAAGTGAAAATTCGAAGGAGATACTTTTTCTACAGCGTCTTCCTGATTTACCCGAACATACTGTTATATATCATGACTGCTTTTGCTTTCATTCTGCCTGCGGAGTCTGGAGAAAAAGTGAGTTTTGCGACCACACTGCTCCTCGCTCAGATTGTGAACACGGGCACAATGCTGACAGTCTTTCCACGGAGCTCTCTCCGCCTGCCTGTGTTGGTGTATTTCAGTGCTATCTCGACTCTGCAGTTGAGCTTCATATGTTTTTGCGCCATCATAGGTAAAAGAAAGATCTAAAAACTCACAAGATTTACAGTCAAAAACCGCTTTTTTGATTATTTGCAAATAAAGTTTACCGGGAACATAACTGTGACATTTTTTGATAATATAAATTAATTATTTTTCTGTTAGTTAGTTAGTTCATTGTTTGTTTTAGTGGTCAAAGTGCACTTCAGCCAAGGAACTGTCGGATCTAACAGATTTGCAAAAAATGTCATTTCGAGTAGATTCATCCCAATTCTGGGTTTCAAAATGTACAAGAAGGCCACAATTACATATCAAGTATCACCACCTAATCTCAGCCAAGAGTCTACCGGAACTCAAAGTACGGAACAAGAAAACAAACAAGAAACAGAATCCCACCCAGAAATCAAATCAAGTGAGGAGTTCCAGGCAACTTTTGACGAAACCCAGTTCATTCGGATAAGATTTGCGTTAGTGCTGGATCGATTTTTTATGATTCTACACTTGGTTTCTATGACTGCAGTTACCCTGTGGTTTTTGATAGATATATCCTATTAACCAAAAGTTTTGATCAAGAATTAGTTGCGTTGATTGTTTATAAATGCACGATTCGCAATTGTTTATTATAAACCGATAATGAAAAAAAAAGTTAAATATTTTTGTATCTATAAATTTTCAGTGCTTAGCAGCCACAGTGCGCGTTTTTTGTTGAAACTTTGCTTTTCTGTCTTTGCAATTTTTAAATCAAATTCGCCTCTGTATCACTTTTTCAAAATGAAAATTTTCAATGTGAATTTTTTTGCTTCACAATGCAGTTAACAACACAAAACTCTATTTTCTACCTCTAAAGCTTTATGCTAATTATTTACCCTAAATATAATCAAAATTTTGCTTAAAAAGCATCCAATGGCGCATCTTAGATTTTTTGAGAGAGATGATCAAACACTCTGTTTATATGCACTTTCGTAGAAAAAGTTTAAAAAATTTATATTTGTGTTCTAATTGAACAAGAGGCTAAAACCCTGGTATGTCAAAGCCACTATCTTGCATGTCATATAATTATGAGGGAACTAAGTTTCGATATATTGTACCAAATTTCATAAAAACTGAAGCTTCAAAGTCTTAGCTAAAATTATCATTGATGCCAGTTATTAAATCAAAAACCATTGAATAATCCTTCAATACCCAGGATATACGAAAAAGTGCAATGAGAAAAAAAATCTTTTGAGCGTTTTTGAAAAGTTGTGTACTCAGGGTTACGTTATGGAGATAGCAGGCAACTTTTACATATTTTAAAAAAATACTTCAGAATAGATTTTCGATTAAAAAAACAAAAGAAGAAATAAAACAAGCATCAAAAAAAGTTTGAAAAACTGTTTTCAGAAAAATTAACGTTGCCATCAAATAAATGATAGTCATGCAAAACTCATAGATAGAAACTAAAAAATGAGCGTTCATTTTTTCTTCAATAAGATTTAAAGTATATTTAAAAGTTTATTTAAAACGCGGTTGCATCAAATTTGCAAAATTGTTTTTATGTTTTTATGAGTTGAATCTTTCCTAAGACACGGAGGATGGGCGGATTTTCAGAACTCTTCGATAACTTTTTAGGTCGGCCACATCAATTATCCGCTCTTTTTTTGTTCCCGACTCACATGAGAATCAATTTTATGCAGTTACGAGGGATTTTACGGCGTTTTTTTCCAGGACCATATATCTTTGTAGCATGTTGATGCAATTCGCATGTTAAATTTTGTAGGAACCGGAGAATATCAACAAAAAAATTAATTATAAAAGTTTGCAACTGGTTGAGGGGAAGAAAAAGAGCTCTAAGAGGAATAGTAGAAACACCAGAGCTCTGAACCCTAAAATATTAGAAAAAAAAACATTTTTCCAAACTTTTCTGCACGTTTTTTGGGAACTTTGTGTTAGGTCATAAGCTCGAAATGTACCGCATCTAAAAATTTTTATGAATATTAATCTTATTCTTCTGCTTGAATTTTTTTTATTGATTTTGGATTGAGTACAAAAAGTTTAAAAAACACTAAAATTGGATTGGAAGATAGAAATAAAAACAATTGGCCTGTTGGTTTATTTTTCTCCAGGAAAAAGTTTCCTTACTTTTATAGCTTGTTAATATTACACTGCATTAACGTTTATGCTAGTCCGGAAGGTAGTATAAAGCTTGCAAAGTTATACGTAGTGGGGTCGGGCGATTTCGGCATGCGATCAGTTCTCAACTAACTCGTATCATATGAAAGCCACAAATAAGACGAACGTTGCAGAAAAAATGCAAAAAACTTTATGACAAGTTGGTTTGCAATGAGATTATTAAATCTATAACGTTTGAACTGATTTTGAATTGTTGTGACAATTATGAACTTACAAGTAATTAACCTCACATTTCGTCGCAATTTATATGACTTCAAAAAGAAGCAATATAAAACCTGTTTTCATTTTTACGTGCAATTTCATTCTGAGCAGATTATTTTGGAGCCGCAACTCGGAACCTATAATCCAAAAAACCAAATACCTTTTTCGTGTGACCTTAATTTCCCATCAAGTACTAGAAAACCAAAAAGCTAATCCGAACGTCAAATTAGCCTAATTTTTGATGATAAACCACAAAAAGAGTGCTTAGATGCGTAGAGGAGGATTTGCGACGAACTATGAGGAAGTTTATCCCTTGATTTCAGACAACAGCCTTATCAACGCACTAAAAGACAGGGAATTGTTGCTATCCTTTGAAGACACTTACGATAATTACTTGACCGAAACAGTCAGCAAAAGCAAAAATCGGCATAAAAACGACTCAAATAAACGATGATCTCAATTGCAAACCGATAAAAAACAAAACCGCCCTATATATATAACAGACAACCACCCAAGTACCCTAACACCCAAGAAAAAATTTCAACCCAGAAAATTTTGTGACAGAAAAATAAACAAAATTTGCGAAAGATTTTAGAGATTTTAAAAAAATTTTAAAACCCGAAAAAAACATCATGCCAAAGTTTTCCAAAGTTTTTCCCTTAGAAAACACCTTTTTGTTTCAGGGTGGCTTTCGATACCGTCACTGTTGCCAAGGAAAATTTTCGCCTGAACCTCTAGCTCGGTTTCCAAGAAATTCGCCGCCGCGACCATTAACACCCGTAACGCTCCTCCGTTTATCCGATATATCAAACCCAACCATACCTGAACGCTACAAGAACCTTACAAACTCATGAGAAAAAATTTCTAAAATTTTAATCGAAGTGAACTAAAAAAAATTGTTCACGCATAAACGCATTAAAAAACACCAAACTTGTTTCTTAATAGACCATTGTTTAAAACAAATTTTATTTTCTAAAATTGTCAATGGTGTTCTCCAACTTTTCATAAAAACTTACCACTCACACGCCTCGATGTTACTCTTAAGGCAATCTTAGGTTTAAATTTGATTTCGAATACAGCAAACCGCCAAAATACTATTCGATATCTTTGTATTAATTCCCCAGAGTATTTAGTACAGAAAAAAGTGATAGTGTTTGGTACGATGTAATTAATTATTCCTTGAACAAGCATGGGTCTTTTTATGAGATATTTCAAACATAGAATAAACAAATGCTTTTTTGAAAGAATACAAAAACAGAATAGCAACCATTGCTTACGTACAACGTCAACAGACCCCGGACCTTTAAAAAAACGGGAATTTTAACATTTTAATTGACCAAAAAGTGAAGGCTAAGTTAGCGCATAGTTTTATTTAACTCAAACTCCAGCTTTCATAGAAATTAAAATTCGCAGTTATTTCTCCAAGTTAAGTGAACTTGTCATTAAAGAGTGTTCGACAAGGACTAAGGGAAGGTAAATCAGATAAAATTAAGTTTTCACACATGATGTCGGCTGGGACTTATCGAAGTTTGTAAGAAACTAAAGTTTTTGTTTTGTTTGTTTAAACTAGATTTCAAGTTTTTCTCGTAGTGTAGTGTTCATCTGGTTCTGTAGTCAACAAGAGCTGTAGAAACCCTTTCGTTGCGTAGCGTTAGGTGGTCTTCTCGTTAGTTATTTGGCAGCTACTTGACTTGATTCCAAACCAAAACCATCACCCAACTCAAATGCTACAATCCGACAAAAAAAACTTTTAACCGACGGTGTTTTCGGCAGCTTTGAAAGCTAGACGAAAACAGAGAAGCCTAACTAAGGAGTGGTGCTGAGGTCTCATGATTGCATATATTCTTTGTTGTGGTTTCGTTTCATGTGTAATTATTTCGACACCAGAAGTTTTGTAGAGATTAGGCCTACAAAAGGAAGAAGTTTTCATAGACAAAAATTCGTAAGACCAATCCTGTATTTTTTTTGGTTTTACCGTTAATTGAGGGATCTAAAACGGGACTGCGTTCCACTAAGTTTTCCATAATTCAGCTTAATCTAACATATGCTAGTCTTTTTGTCATTAACAATTTTCTGCAAGTTTTCGAGAAGCTGATTTAAACTCAAACGTGATCTTTATTGTTATAAAAAAAACATTCGATCAAATTGAACTATTTCTGTTTTCATACTTCTTCAAATTGTTTCGAGAACACGAAGCAAACTGTTCAAAATGTTCCTTTTGTTTCATCATTAACAAAGACATTATTGGGAAAACGTATAGTGCCTCATAAGACTGATATGCGGATCCTTTACACAACAGTGAAGTGCTCCTATTGTTGACTAAATTAGCAGTGGCAAAAATTTCGGTTTGAGATAAAAAATATTTATTAATATTATATTTTAACGTTTTAGATTAGATAAGAGCATGGAAGTTCAGGGATAATGAAGCCTTTTTAAGTTTTATGATAGATAAAAAGAAACATTGAAATTCACTGGAGTCTCATATACCACTCGGAATTGCTTTTTAAAAGCATTCCTGATTCATTTCACAAAACTTAAGTAATGACTTTCGTTTAACTTGATATTTTGGTCTATGGGTGCCAGTTGAAAGAAGAAACACACTAAGGGAAACACGGAAAAATCAAAAAAATTTTAAGCACTATTTTTTCTCGAACAATGATCGGTTAGTCACATCTAATTGACAGTTTTGACTTAGATATTATTCATAATGATTGATTTGCAAATGTTTGAAATATCACTTAGATTTTACGAAAAAAAAGTTATACTGGAATGGGATCAAAAATTTCAGTAAATATCATAAAAAGGGTCTTGATAATGATTAGTAAATCAAGCACCAAAAATTGTCAGTTGCATCTATAATTTGTTAAATAATATAATTTTATTGGAAAGTGTTCTTCTTCAGCTTGATTTGATATTGTTTACTAGTTATCAATTTTTGAAGTTTAAAAAACAACTTCTTATTGCACATCAAAAACAGCCAGGTGAGCTAAGCTTTGTGCTTGGCTCATAGAGTAATTTCGGATAGGGTACACCGTCTGCTCGTCACGCTATCTTATTTTCGGCCGGATAGATTCGTGCAACTTCTTAGTCTCATACCGATCCTAATCTTACTCTTATATCTACTAGTCTCAGGGTGTTTAACTAGTCTCTGCTAGGCTCAATAGATCTAGAGTATAATGGTTTATTACGATTGCTGAAGTTCTCTTGGAGAGGTAACTAATTTCTAAGTTAAATTCAAATCTCTCTGGTGCTAAAA